TTGCTCTCAGCTCGATTGGCGCAATCTTGTATTCTATCATTCTTGGATGCACCCAGCATCGGATAGAGACCACACACCCAGTACCAGCTCATCGAATCGCTCCAGTTATAATTCCAGGTATGATTCAATCGATTCATATTTTAAAAGAGCACCGACTAGATTCTGTAACTGAGAGTTTTCAAGTGTACACTGAAAATTGTGTGCCCTCTTCAATTTGCGATTCAGGTAGTGTGAGTATGAGTTTTGGCTGTGTACACTTCTTTATTCAGCGACTCAGCAAGTATGAGAATGAGTTTTAACTGTCAAAATTGTGTACACTTTTCTTCCGAAAACTCGCGGAATTTTATTCGGTGAGTTGTTGGTTGTGAGTTTTTCATTCGGTGCACACTACATTTTTTCACAGTTACAGAATCAAACCCCTGTGGAGTACGATTCGTCATCTAAACGTAAAAAGGACATAGACACAGCTTTGGCGCAGTTAGTGACTGAAAGTTTTCACCCGTTCAATATTGTTAATGACAATGCATTTCGTAAATTCGTAAAGGTGTTGGATACAAGGTACGTTCTTCCAAGCAAAAATATATTGAAAAATATCCCTATCACAAATTTTTATGAAAGCCGGAAAGCGAAATTGTTTAACATTTTAAGCAACGTCGGAAATGTTGCAATAACAACAGATTCTTGTTCATCAATGAATAATTAATAATAAGCCTATATCACAGTCACTTGTCAATTTATTGATGAAGAATATAATTTTCGTCACGCAGTGTTGGCCACAAAATAATCAACGATATAACGAATCATACGGCAAGAAACATTGCAGATTCTTTACATGAAGTTTTAATGGAATGGTCGGTTTTTAATAAAGTGTGCTGTTGGGAAGGAACGCATCCTCCATGACAAAGGCATACGAATTGCTAAAATTGCGGCATTTGCCTTTCATAGCCCACACCTTGAATTTGGTGGTTCAGGACGGATTGAAGGAGTTCGTGTTGCAATCTCTGATTTCGAAATGCAAAACAATTGTCACATTTTCCAGAAGCAGCACAACAGCTATGGAGAAGTTCAAATTAGAGCAACGGTCTGAAAGGCCACTAAAACTGAAGCAAGATGTCATAACGAGATAGCACAGCACGTATATTATGATTCAGCGGATTCTTCAGACAAGTACTGCAATATCAAGCGCTATCTACTCCAAAAGCGCCCCCGACTCTTACAGCTGCTGAAATACAAGCGTTAGAGGAAATAGAAAAACTACTTCTTCCTTTTCCAACTATAACAGAAAAATGCAGCGGAAATTATATAACAGTATCATATATTATTCCGTATCAATCTTTACTCTAAATTATTGGAGGGAATTTAAAAACGACTTATTATATATGAAACTAGACCGCCAACACGAATGGCCACGATTCTAGATCCGCGTTTTAAAAAAGAAGCTTTCATATCTGAAAATATTGCTAACGAAACATCAAATTTACTTGAAAATGAAATTATGCATTTTATGGGACATTCGCACACGCAACCACCTTCCCAACAAGAAACAACGGAAGGTGAAGATACACTTTTTTCATTTCTACACGAAAAAAACAGAAACAAAAGGCGGTCAAAACGGGCAGATTTAATTTTAATAAAGCACCAGTACTTGGAGAGACAAAATGCTGCGCAAAATACAAACCCTCTGGATTACTGGAAGGTATAGTTTTCGTGGTTATTTTAAAAAACCACCTTATTATATTTTCGTTTTTATATTAAAAGCTAGCAGAAGAAGATTTCTTACCCTTAAAGGAGTGCGGGCAGAAATAACTATGTATTCCAGCGTCATCAGTATAATCGGAACGAATGTTCAGTAAAGCAGCTTTAATAGTAAACGAAAAAAGGTCGCAACTAAAGCCTAAAAATGTTGACGTGCTTTGTTTCTTAAATAAAAAAATTGGCTTTAAAAACTAGAATAGGTAAATATGTTAAGTTTTTTTGATAATACTTTCATTATTAATGTAGGTCCTTATGGTCTTTAAAAAACTGTATTTAACGCAATTGAACGTATTCATAGTCAAAATTAAGTTGGTACTTAAAGCTATTTGTAGCTTTTTGGTATAATTTGGGATGGGTTATCTGTGAATAAAGTTATAACCATGATAAAGGCATAGTAAGGTAGAACCGTTCTCTCAGTTCGACTTTTTTTTGAAGCTTTCCAGAATTTTAAAATCATATAAAAATGAAATTAAAACAAGTAATTTTTAAGAAAAAAAACCAAACCGATTTCAATTCTCATATAAAATTTAATAATACCGTTAATTTCTTCATGTTCCAATGACCTGATCTAAACCAAATTAGAAGGGGACCATCTCTGAGGTACCACCTTTCCTTTAAAAATGGCATTATAGAAATCGGTTAACGTGGTCCAAAGTTATGCGGTAACATACATAAAAAAATAAAATATTCCGACGAATTGATTACCTTCTTTTTTTTGATGTCGGTTAAAAATGAATATGTTCAAAATTGTTTTTGCTTGATATTGAAAATGTGTCTGTGAGTAAATTCTAAAATTAATATGGTTGGAAACGTCAAAAATTTTAAAAGTGCCTCTCAGCGGTTCTACCTTACTATATTTTTATCATGGTTATGACCAACTTTAAGTTAGAACTTAATTTTGACTATTGTTGAAGATTCGTCTTCAATATGAGTAGCAAACAGAAATTTATGGAAAACATTTTGTGCACACCCTAGTGAGGTTTCTTTGATGTTCTGATTTCCCTACTATCTTTTCTTCATCTTAACATTCATTCCTTTTGTAACAGTCCACGCGCGCGGAAGGGAGCCGAAGACTTCACTTCGTCGCCAAGAATATAAGCAGCGACAGTTCAATAAACATACAGTCCACACTCGAAAAGAAAAAAACAATGATAAGTGGCAGTGTAAAACATTAGCACCTACAAAAAAGTGAACAATTCAAACATTAAAAAAAAAACTCATAATCAATGTAACATATGTACATATCGCACACGATCTTCAAGTGACGCAACTCAAAATTAAACGTTCATCAGAAAATGCGAAAAACTATTCCGTAGCACATGCTAAGCATATGGGCAAGTTAGAATTTACCTTAGGTTTTCTCAACAAATTATAACAAGAATTTGCTCCACCTTTTGATTAAAGAAAAAATGCACACAAAAAAAATAATGATATACATATAAACTAAAGCGAAACAACACAAAAAATAATGCAGCAGCATTTGAAGCAGCCCAGCAATCGAAGCAGCGAAGAATTGGAAACGAGCGCAACGTCAGTTCATAAAATAACCCAGTATGCAACAACAAAAGGAAGTATTTTCTATATTGCAATATGTATGTATGCACTTACCCACAATTTACACAAAAGATACCTCTTCATGCAATCTGAGAGCCCATCGGTCATGTTCCGAAATCATATATTTTCTTAAACATACACATTCTCGACAATCATTTCTAATTCGAAGAAGCAAATACCTAATTATGCATAAAAGCACAGCGATTTTTGTTTCTCTTTATTTTTTTGCCAGGTCAGTGAAGTGAACACGCCTGTCCAAGTCTTACATGCAAACTCGTATATTTATGTACACATAGATGCAACTCATAGCACCTCTTCTATGCAAAATCAATTATTTGCGCACTCACTTAATCCAATTTCCCAAATTTCTCGCCGCCTGGTCACCCGTCGAGGACACATTAGTACTACATACATGTGGGATTAGTTTACGGGCAGTACTTACGATGCTAGGACTAATTGGCCATTCAGAGTTAGTAACATAGAAATGCAGCCCTACATAACGAATAGAGGAATCTAACTTATCAAACTATTTAACGAAAGGCGATAGAGAAGAGAATGATACGAACAGATCAGACTGGACATTGCATTGTCAGCCGCCATCAAGCGCAGAACAATGTTCTGCTAGTGTTAAGTTGTTGAATTGTAATATGTGCGTTTTGTTAAATAAACAGTATGTAATATTAAATTATTAAACTAAATAGCCGCGTTTTTGTATACGAAGAGGATGAAACGGGAAGGCCATTCCTACA